TGCGGAGAGGGGCTCGGCTTCTGTCCGCGGGGCCGGCCGGGCCCGCCGTCGCTTTGTGCCCGTGCGGCGCCTGCTACTTAGGTGAAACACTGCCATCGCTTCGGCGGGGTGGTCAGCGTGGCGACCGCGCTTGGTTGAAGGGTACACCACGACACGGAGATTGGTCCTGCGTTCACGGCTCACCTCCGACAGCACGGCACCGTGGGTTGAGTTGGGGCAGCGAGCGGCTGCGACGCAGAAAGGGAGCGGGGGGTAAAAGTGAAGCCAGATGTGCTTGTGTCTGCTGGAAATGAGCGTACCTAGTTTGAGGTCCGACCAGCTCATCTGCTTGAAGAGTAAAGTGTCACTCTGCGTATGTTAGTAACCTCTGCTGGCCATCAGCCTGATAAGATTTTGAATTTCAACCTTTCTCTCGTTACTGTCTTTTGTAGGCTGAGTGCTTACAGTTAGGGAGATCATACGGATGTAAGACCCTGCCCCAAGATATGAACAGCTCGAATCTTTTGCACCAAACAGCTAGAAACCCTGCCAAATGCATGCTCTTTTCAGAGTTGGGTATGACAGAAATGCCTTAAAAATCTGATAAAATCCCTGATCCAGTGATGAGAGCCAGCTTAGAGGTGCAACGGAGACTAAAGGCCAAATTCACAACCCTCCCCTGTGGGAAAGTGAATTCACTTCTCCTTCACAGAAACCTCCTGAAGGCATAGAGGTTGTCACTACTACTAGGATTTCTTCCATGATCAGAGAAACAGGTTTCAATGTAAGTAACCAATTATGTCAAATACATGCACGTTCCTCAACAGTGGCTTTGCCTGCTGGAAAATGTGATGGTTCTGAGATTTTGCCTGGCTAGCTGCTTGGGTCAAAAAAACCAGGTTTGGAGCAGACAAGCATGTGATTGAAATGTGATGATGGAAGTCTGTATAAAACTGGTGTGCCTGCTTTAGCAATGCTTGTAACCTCCCACTTTCACAAATGCTACTATTTCCATGCTTTCCTGCTAGAAGAGCTAGGAGTGTGTACTGCTGTATATACCTAGAGCAGATACGTTGCCAGCATTCTTGTTTTGAAGAAATGAGTATGAAAATGTGGTGAGAAACCTTCCAGTGTGTATAATGGCGTTACCAATGACAAAATGTATTTTGTCTTGCAACCTGATACTTTTGCACATTGGTCTGGAAAATAAATTTTCCTATCTAATCTTTCATCAGGCCACATGATGTTTTCAATTTTGTATAAAATATGTCAGTTCTGGGAAAAACAATAGATGCATATGACCGAGATACACAAAGTATAGTGGGAACATGATGCAATACTTGGTTGTAGTTGCCTCGACGTCCAGGCACGTATAGTCACTCTTTTATGAAAATGAACCGAAAATACTAGACTCTGTAGTTACTTAGCTGTTTAAATTATGCAATAATGCAGTGCAATGTAAAATTATGGAAACAGTTTTTGTCACATTTGCAGCAGCCTTTAGAAAGGATTTAATCCTTGCCAAGAACTCTGTCAGGAATCTAAAAAAAAAAAAACTAAACTGTTGCTCCTATTTTAACAATGAGATTATACATTTTACATATTCTGAGATAGTCTTGTTACTTTGACTGTATTTGGGAATATTTGTGGTATGAAGAAAAACCAGAAAAGTCTAAAGACTGCAATTGTCAAAGTAGGTAAAAACATTTCTAGAGGTTGTCAAATATATTATGCATATACGTATAAATTAAATGTTTGAAATTGTTCAAATGAAATGGTAACCAGCATATTAATATAACTCAGAAACATATGTCCAGCATTTTATTCATTGCAATAGTCTCATTTAAGCCAGTGGGAACTACTTAGTAACTGGCTTTGTACAGGTGCCTGAATCAGAGGGGTCAGCCCAAATCTCTGTGTAAATTAATACTAACTACGGTAATGTTGATAGCACTGGTCATTGTCGAGGGCCCAAACTTAGCACTCACGTTTTTATTTAGGAAATTAGAATTGAGGCATTATTTTTATTTTTCAGTAGAGGCAAATTGTCCAATGTGAAGGAGAAGAAGATGGGGTTTTTTTGTGCTTTTACATGTTGAGAATAAGTATGTCAAAGCTGTTGGGCTTTTTTTTTTTTTTTTTGGCTAGGTTTGAGGTCATCTTCTGTGGCAGTGTGTAGGAGAGACCTGAAGATCATCTCATGCCTCAGCTTTCCATAAACTGCAAACAGCAAAATGACAGTCAGGTAAAACCAAAACAGTCCTGCTAGCTTTTTCCACCCTCACTGACCTATGAAGGTCAAAAGCCCAAAGAGGGCAGAAGGATGCATGAAGTTCTGCTTGTATTATTTCCGTGTACGAGAAACTTCCTTTCTACTCCAGTTTTTCTTTGCTGAAGCAGGAGATGCGAGTGGGTACGTGCTTGGTGCAGCAGAAGATGCACCCTGTGAATAAGGGAGAGAATGTCTTGCCTTTGAGACTTAGGCGGCAGGAACGGTAGCAGCTGTCGTGGCAGAGTCAGTACGGAAAGGTTGGTTGTTTCACTGTAGGTGCCCAAGTAACAGGTTTGAGAACAGTGACTGGGGAGACGGGGCAAATTTGCTGCGTGAGTAAGCGGATGAGGTGGGACAGTATGAAGTTTTCTGAGCAGAGAGAGGTCAGGCCCTTGGGATGAAGGAGTTGAATGGGAGCAGGTTGATTGTAGCGTGGAACGAGTAGGCCGTGAGGGAGCAGTAGGCGGGCAGAGTGGGAATAGCGGTGGGAAGTCTTTTGTGAAGCAGAGCGTGCAATAGCTGCTTCATTGTGTGAAGCTGTGAAAGGTGGGAAAGACATTCAGCTTGGGGGTGGCAGCTATAGAGGAGGTACGCTCCTGTTTTATAAATCAAGAATGGGGTGGGGGTGGCAATGAGAGGCTGAAAATAGGCAGCGAAGGGGATGGCAATGGCAATAAACAGGGAGAGGATGGCAGCCCCTGGCCTGCTATTTAAAGCAGCGAGTGACATAGAAGGTGACGGTGACGGGGAGGTACGTGGCAGGTAGCGGATGGTTTGGGGGTGGCAGCGGCGAACCAAAGGTCCACGTAGTTTAGTTCACCTCTAAAAGCCGCAGTTTGCCAGGAGAGGGGAAACAGAGGAAGCCGGGAGGTGATGTTTGTGCTAAGGCGAGGCCGGGCGCCCCCCGGGCTGGGCCGCCCTTCCCCGTGGGCCGCCTGCAGCGGCGCCGAGCGGGCCCGGTGACCGGGTTCCCACGCCGGC